ACGCACAACGATTCATAACAAACAAATGGTACATATTTGCTTATAGCTGCGGACACGCCTATGTCATGCCTACTCCATCAAAGTCAGTTGTATGAGAGATGTGCTTGATAATACATGTGTAAATTTAAGGATTAATTAACTGGATTTTGTAAAAGTAGTGCTTACTTTGCATAATGAAAATAACGTGTGAGCTGTCATCCATGTCATAGGTCAACAACAGTAATTTTCTATCGTCATCACTAACTCTTAAAAACCAATTACGGAACACCAACGTGAAATAGTTTATTTTTAAATATAAATGCCAATTTCTCAAATGATATTTATATTTAAAAATAAATTATTTCTAACCGTAAATAACCAATAGTTTAATAATATATTTTTTATACACTTTCATTAAACTTCATAGAACGGATAATTTTAATTTTTTTATGCTATATTAGAAGTGTAAAAAGGTAATTAAAACTCGTAAAATTATACTTTTGGGTTTAATTCATCGATTTTATTTTTTGATTTTCTTACCTGTACCAGGTCATAAAATATTTAATTGCAATCAATGAGTTTTTAAAAAAATTATTCAGAATTTTAGAGCTATTGAATTAGTATATATAATATTCCGATAGGGAAGAGTAGTCAGTCAATTCACAATTCTTTCCTTTTTGTACTTCTGTACAAATAATAATCTAACAAGTATAAAAATGAAAAAACAAAACAATTCTTTTAAAAAAGATTTTCCACTCGAAAATAACGAAGAACATGTTTTTATTTAATAATAAAAAAGATGTCTTGTTATGAATAGCAATGTGATGATTTTCAAAATCGCATTGAAAAAGTAGAAATAATCTTTTAAAAATAAATATTTAATGCAATTTTTTTACTATCCAATCTAAAACAAAATGTGCTTTATAAATTATGCAAGCAGCAACCCTTAAAAAAGTTTTTGGGGAATTTCATCGAAATATTTTTGGTAATATTGCTTGATGTTGCATAACAGATTCTTTACTTCATTGAATTTTTCTTTATATAATTGAAAAAAGATTTTACGAAAAATCACAAATTAAAAGTACAAGAAGAGGCGACAAAACTGATCCACAAAACCCAATTCCACGAAGCTTTATAACAAAATGATCTATTCAGTATACAACACATGAATAAGGACTGAAAATTTCGTTTAAATCCGATAATTCTCTGATTTTTGCAAATCTTTGAAACAATAGGGATTTTTACGTAAAAAACGCAACCATTTTGGTGTTACCTACTATAAACATATTTAGTGAGTAAATGTGTTTGAGTAGATATCACTGTTATTTTAAATAGTGAAATTCAATTCAACCAACTTAGAAGTCTTTATTAGCGATAAATATGCCTGCCAACAAAAATTTTCTATCTCTTAGTCGGTTCACAGTTTTAACTAACTGGGATGGCTGCTCAAACACGCACATACACAAAGTATAGCGTTTAATAAAAGGAAATAATATTGGATTAAAGTGCTGATATATAAATTAATTATATTTACTTAGGATATTTACTTATATATACTTGGATTTATTTAATCACACACGGAAACCTACCAGATTACACCCGCACCATGCTTGCAGAAAATACAAGTATAATAGTCTCAACCACATGTAAAAAATTAATGGAGGCACTTGTAATAAAAAAACAATATTCAATAACATCAAGTATGAACACGGCCACAATCTGCTGACCATATTTGAAAAAAAAAATCATTCCTATAACTCTACAGTCATACAGTCAGTTTAAAATAAAAAAAAATATAATCACCCTAAAGGAATAACTGAAAGCGCTCGGATACAGAGAACATTTTGACAATTTTTACACACTTTATGTCCAGAAAAGAAAACACTTATACGAACACAAGGAAAATACCTTCATCTCAGAACCTTGTCGGTCGACTTTAATGAAACTTGTATAAAAGAGGGATTGCTGCCTAAATAAACAATTATATATATTCCTTTTGTCTTTATTCCGGGCCCGATCCAGACCCGCAATCGTGAAATTTTGGATTCTCAAGTTTTCATTACTGCAATTATTTTTGGATTCCGCCATCTTGACTTCTACTGATAATGTAATTAAAGGCACACAACTCTCTAACTTTCAATAGCTCATGTTCAAATGAAAAAAATAACGTTCTGAAATTAGTGTTTCAAAATAAAATTATTCGTGTTTTCAACTTTATTCGTAGATAACATAGCCCAGCATATCATACCATTTTCGAATCAGGCCGACACCGTGAGCAAATTAAACACATACCGAGTCGCATCAGGACCCGAAATCCTGAAATTTTAGATTCCCAAGTTTTCATTACTGCGGTTGTTTTTCGCGATTTTTTACGTGATTTTCTTTGTGACGAATTTCTTTGTACGATAAAAATTTTTATGAGTTGGGAATAAATTTGGGAATAATTGAAATTAATTGCGATATTCAGTGAAAATCACCCATGAAATAAAAATAATTGGTTGTACGGAAAATAAGGACCTACATACATCAAATTGTTTTTAAATTAAGTGGCAGCAGAGGAATTATAATTGAACTTTTAAAAGGTAAGCTTAAATATTAATGCAATACTGAAATGCAGCGATCTACTCCTTTCTGCCTATTGTATTATTAAGAGCACTTCGCAGGAGCTAGCTTAAATGCCGCCCGATAGTGTAAATAACAGTTGCTTATATATATATATAATATACATATATAAATTGCTATATATATATATATATATATATATATATATATAAGCAATTTATTTATGTATATTATATATATATATATAAATAATAGATAGATAGATAGATGAAGATAGATAGATAGATAGATAGATAGATAGATAGATAGATAATATTAGTGGTAAAATATACATACATATGCAATCATATATCTAAAATATATATAAGTATATATACATACATACATACACATACATATTTGTATAAAAACTAAATCAGAGGATAGAATCCAGGTAGAACTCAATATTCAGGACAGAGTAGGATATAATAAAAGGCTTAAACTAATATTCCATGGTCATAATTTATTCCATTGGACTCGTAAATGCGATCAATTCATCAGACCTACAAATTCAAAAAGCTTTTGAATTTGTAGGTCAATGAATGTGGATCTTTACGATTCAATGGAATAAATTAACCATGGAATATTAGTGTTATATATTTTATTATATATATATATATATATATATATATATATATATATATATATATATGATATAATAAAACAGGTAAAATAAAAACAGATTTTACTCTTTCATGATAAAAAAAAAAATAAAACAAACACTGCCAACCGGTTTCGCCCTCACTCAACAGAGTTGAAATCGAGTTGAGAGAGGACACAACCGATCGGCTGCGTTTGTTTTAATTTTTTTTTTTTTCTTCATGAAGAATAAAATTGGTTTTACCGTTTTTGTTTCCATAACGAAATTCTGTATCACACTGAAAATTATGAAATATATATCTATGTATAAGGATCATGAGCCAAGTACACCACATGTGCTGCTGACGGGGCCGAACACTTTCTAGTCTGGTTTGAATCCAGAGATTTTCCTTCTCCTAGACTAGTTGTCAATCAAGACTATAAGGCCAAGTGTGTTCTTCTATTTATCCATAGCTTGGCAGAGAAAATATGGTTACATACTTTTCCCATGTGTATTTGCGTGTGTAAGTTAATGTAACTAACTCAACTGGAATTTGAACACTCTGCTCTGAATTCTCGTATATATATATATATATATATATATATATATATATATATATATGTGTGTGTGTGTGTGTATATATATGTGTATATATATATATATATATATATATATATATATATATATATATATATATATATATATATATATATATAGTGTCGAGTTAGTTGCATTCCCCTTATTTTCTATTCTTTTTTATTGGTTTTGATTTTCCTTTTAGTTTTTTTTTTCGGAGGCACATTGCTTGTTTTGAGATATCTAGCAATAAGACAGAACACGTGAATAAATGGTTTCATGCCTTTCCCAGAAGTATTAGTACAAAGTCAGCATAAGCGATTTCAGATTTCAGCTGAAATTTAAACTCGACTTGTTTGAAGATGTTTTCAACTAGGCCTCCGCACCTCACGTTAAAAAATATCATAGTAAGAAGATTGGGGATCAACAGTGTCGTATCAGCCAGGCTCTTCCCTCCACCACCACCCCACCCCCCAACATTTGTGTCCCTCTCTAAATGCATTTTCCTTAAAACTTTAAACAAAATTATTTAGCAGCAGAGAATTCAGAGTGAGACTGGGCTATTTTTGACACTTACCTTTGGGGATTCCGTTTCGTTACCAACTGCGGCACCGCTGTGCGGAGGGCTTATTAGGCGTAAGTCAATGACCAAGGCGGTGGGTCCCTCCTATGGAATCAACACCCACGTGACTGTGACCAAGACTCAGGTAAGCCTTCAAGTTGAAGAACATTGGCTGTGGTTTGACCTGTGGATGGAGGGGTTCCGCCAGGTCTGCTTATACACGACACTATACACATGAATGAACACCTCTCCGGCTTTCAAACTAGAGGTAACTTGTCAGCGACTCTACGACCACACCCGGTCATGGGACTGATGATGATGATGATGATGATGATGATGATGATGATGATGATATGGTGAGTCTGAAGGGAGTGCTAATTATAGATTAATTAATTACACTATCAAACTGTTTTTATCAGCCATCCTTTGATTATTTTCGATAAATAATCCGGACACGAAGAGATCGTTAGAGGCGAGATTGATCAGGATTGCAAGAGCTCTTAATGTTATAAACACACATATTCGCGTATACGTTCGATATGTACACATACATATACACACACAGTTGATATATATATAATTATACACATACTACATTGTGCAAGCTTGCATAATCGCCTATACACACACACGGAACTGCCGACACGCTCAACACACAAACACATACTGGACACAATCATATGCACGCATATAAAAATGATTGTGAAACACCGGTTCCCGTATGATCATCAAAGTTAAGCAACGTCGAGCGTCGTCAGTACCTAGATGGGTGACCGTTGGGAATACCAGCTGCTGTAAACTTGGATGTGCAGGTGGAGTAACGATTTTGAAGTGGAGATCGGAGAGCCGAGTTCAAAATCCCGTTGGGTTTGTTAAATTCACTTACGCAAAAATATCCTTGGGGGAGATAGGAATCCAGCAGTTTTCCACCCAGTTATCGCCCCATTCTCCCGCCAAATTCTTACAATGTAAAAATATTTTCTGGCTTTTAAATAACCTGCAAAGGGTTGATAAACCATAGATAAGTAAATAAAAAAAAAAACATATCGTGCTGACATACATACACATTGATGCACATGCAGACACACGTTCGCTGAAGTACACAGGCTCACGCTTGAAAAATAGTATATAACAAAATTCATGAATTGAATATATGGATGAAATCCCACAGAGTGATTAAATAAGGAAAATGTCGGAAAAGCTTTATAAATTTAAAGTTTACATCTATGCCCGCCCCACAGAAGGCAACTTGATTTTAAAGGGAGCAGTTCGAGAATGAGTTATTGATAGTCAATATCTTCTAGTGAGTCTATGTGAATATGAGTGTGTGTGCGGATTAATATATACGGTGCATACGCAGTATCTATACATAAAAATATTTGTGAAAATTTCTCAGAGTTAACCTGGAGAAAAGACACATTGGACGAAACGCGCCGGTAACTCTTACAGTTTTCCTATTGTCATTTATATTTATAAATAAAAATATTTTTATGGTATGCATATACGTACATGTGTAATTATGTATCTATAAAGTAATTTGTAACACGTTTATTTATCATTTCTCAGTTCCGTCTCTGTCTTTGGGCAGAGTGCGCTCCGGGGCGGTTCCGTCAAATGACAGAGTCGCAACTAAGGAAAATTATATTGAGAAGTGCCCAGGCCTGGGGGAACAGCTGCCCGAGGCCGCGTCCTCTCATTGCACAAGAGAGAGGGATCGGTGCTCGCATCGAGGGCAGCGCAACCGACCCAGGAAATTTTTGTTCCTAGCCCGGGTGTACGCGCTCGGGCTCCCCACATTAAACCGACCTTGTGTCACAACCTGACTTCGTGGGGGTTGAGTAAATACAAATGTAGGATTCCTCCACAGGAATAGGAGTTTACTTTTTGCATAATAAGAATGACATGTCACTGGTGGGATGGGGGCATCAGGATTTTAGAGACGCTTAGGTGGGGCATGGCCAAAAAAGGTTGGGAACCATTGGTCTATACAAACAGTGTAAACAAAACAACATTGAATTTAGAAATTGATACATAACTCCGCATTATTTCACTTAGCAAAAGAATTCCTGATGAAACTAAATTGAATTGCGAAACATTACATTTTTAAAGATCTTCTTACGTGTTCCTTGTTTAACCAAATAAATTTTATATAATTCGAAGTTACAGATATATAACAATTTGTATTTAAAACTGAAAAAAAAACTTCGTATTTATTTTAAAACCATGATGTAAATATTATTTATATTTCAATGACCAAAGAATTCTTCTAATTAAATAAAGTCCAAAATTGTTGATTTGGATCAGAAACAACAGTATCTGATGATGCTTTTTTTTTCTTTTCACTCCAAGCAAGGCGATAATGCTACTAAGACTCAAGGATTTACTGGGAGTGAAAGAAAATGAGAAGACTCCAGGAAAAGTAACTGGAAACCTAATCCTAAACAGAAAACAAGGGATAAATCTCTACTCCTTACATCCGAAATGCTGGATAGGTGAATCTCAATATGACAAAGAGATCAGCAAACGAAAAAAAAAAAAAAAAAACTTATTTCAAATCAGTCTTTTTCGTGATATTTGTAATGATCACTCCATCCTGAGACTATAAAGATGAACTCACTTAATTTTTCAAAACTTGTGTGATTTAATTTTTTTTTGAACTCAACCAGATCGCCGTCTGACATTGGCAATGTCCCTGCACTGAAATTAGTAATAACGTTTATGTATTAGTTTTTTATTTATTTATTTTAATAAACGACTATGAAGTCAAATACAGCAAACAAGAGTGTTTTTTTTTTAATGTTATGCAAATAAACAAATAAATAAATACACACGTAGTAACCGTGGAGACACAGAAAAAGGATTATTTATGGTGGCTGTCTTCAGTCAACGTCATGTCCAGTATAAGAGGCCTGTATTTTAGAGTTGTAGTGCTACTTAGCATTCATTGCATAAAGAAAGGAAGAAAAGTGCATTGAAAAGTGAGAAAGAAATATACATACAAAAATATCACTTGTTCCTACTCAATACAAACAGAGAAAAAGGTCATTTAGTGTACGGTGAGTGACACTGTCAACATCATAAAAGCTGGATTATATTTCACTATTGTTGTTGCTTGTCCGCCTCGTCTTTCTTTTTGATGCATTTAGATAATAATGAGGTTTGCATTGCTTAATGTAATATCCACGTAAAAATAGGATTTCAGTCGAAGAAGGAGTTTTTTTTCTTCATTTTTTTCTTGCAAAATGTGGCACACATGACCTTGACATAGTTAAATACTCGGCGACTTAAGTAAAGGTTTTCACTTAATAAGTAACGAAATAAACATAAGACAAAACAATATCTTTTCAAAATTGCTGATTCTTTTATTATTATTATTATTATTATTATTATTATTATTATTATGAGATTCTCTCTGACTCTTAGATGTTTCTACTGGGCAATAATAATAATAATAATTATAGAAAACATTCCTGGTAGCCCAAGCCTTTAAGAAATACAAAAAATATAGTGATAAGTACAGCCCACACCTTACGAAGGGCTTTATACAAAATGTGTGTGAAGCCATTTCTGACCTTATGTCTCTGGTTGGGACTCACAGCGAAATGGGTACACAACAGAAATCAAAGGAAATAATAATAATAATAATATTAATAATAATAATATTTTTAGTAGTAGTAGTAACAGTAGAGATAGTAATATCTTTATTATTATTATTAGTAGTAGTGCTAATAATAACAAAAACGAAGTATATATCAATTTTTTAAAAAATGCATTACTAACGTCCTGTAAATAAAAATAAATATATACCAATATAAGCAAAAAAGTTTAACTTTTAAAAGTGATTATTTTAAAATTTGCCAATAGATTCATGTGTTTAATAAATAAATTGCATCTTAAGAAAAAGGTAGACGAAATCAAAATTCATTTATTGAAAAATCAAAAATGTTATCAATGCTGTTGATTGCATAAGTTATTATTATTATTATTATTATTATTATTATTATTATTATTATTAACTAATAATAATAATAATAATAATAATAATAATAATAATGAAAAGAAAGTTTAGGTAAAAAGAACGAAAACAAAAACATTAATAACTAAAAAGTTAACCAATTATATATATATATATATATAATTATTCATTTAAAAAATATGATTCCAACACGCTACATAAGAGGTCTCATGTTTCAAAACAAGAGCCGAAAACATCAATATAATTATTTGAATTAAATTGAATTAAAGTAAGCTCTACTTTTGTATCAGGCACTATTTTTAAAAAAATAACAAAAAAAAACTAAAAAGTTTAATTGTTTACCTAACGAGTTCTTTCCTATTTTCTATATATTTTCACACACACACACACACACACACACACACACACACACACACACACACACACACATATATATATATATATATATATATATATATATATATATATATATATATATATATGTGTGTGTGTGTGGAGATGATGAGACAATGTGAAAAAAGGTTTAAAACGACGTCTTTCCCCGGCGTGACGTGTGTTGCTTTCGCTTTCTTCGGGTCGAAACGAAAAACAAAACACTATAAACAGCGCGACAGGAAAAATGTGTTGAGATTTTGATGAGACGACCGGTAATGAATTAAACTATGGTTAGGCTCATTTCAATTTTAAAAATTCTACTTAAATTAAAAAAAAGAAAGCAGTTTACTAAGGTGGAAGTGTATAGAAAGTGCTCTAATTGCTAGATCACCCACAGTAAATTTACGTCCAGGTTCTTACAACATTTCACCTTCACAGATCTTCTATTATCACAATGTGTGATATTAACAAAAGAAATTGCCTAAATTTTATACCTAAACACAAATTAAAAAATTAAATTTAAAAGTTTAACATTTCATCATCCGTTCTTCTTATAATATGTGTAATGTATGTAATACATATTTTCAGTTAATCTCATTTTTGTTATGGGATTTTAATGATTACGAATATCCGGGTTGGCAAGGTGCTTAAAAATCATATATATATATATATATATATATGAATAAAAAATTTTAATCATTATTTTTAGTGGATACTCGTATTTGAGTAGACGCTCCATTTATTTATTAAACAGTATATTTATTTATTTTTGTCTACCAGCTGAAATATTTGAGAAAACTTATTAAAGAAAAATATGCGCTCCCCGTTATGATTCGAACCTGCGTACCACTTTAATAAAATTTCTCAAATATTTAGGCCGGTAGACGAAAATAAATGAATATACTGTTTAATAAATAAATGGAGCTTTTACTCAAATATGAGCATCCACTAAAAATAACGTCTAAAGTGATTAAAATATGTCGGACTGATAAATAAATCCATTACCTTTATATATATATATATATATATATATATATATATATATATATATATATATATATATATATATATATATATATATATATATATATATATATATATATATATATATGTATATAAATGTTAACTCTTATATTATGTATATATATATATATATATATATATATGTGTGTGTGTGTAAGGTGTCCGTAAAATGTACTCACTCTTTAAATAACAATACATGCAGTGTTTATTTACTTGCAAACAAGATTAATGATTAAGATTAAGAAGTATTCATATTTATTGACTTATAAAGACTAAAGGTTTGAACTAAGCATTAAATAAAATTAAAAACATGGAGCTGAAAAATTATTCAAAAAAATAAGTGTGTTATAAGAAATCAAAAAGGTGAGCACATTTTTTTGATACACTGTGTGTGTGTATGTGTGTATTCGCGCCCATGTGTATG